CAACATAGTTGCTTAGAGTTGCAGCTGAGAGGCCGGCAAGTCAGGCGGGGAACGTTGGAGTCCGCTGTCACTGGAGCAAGCAAGCCTCCCTGTTCGCTTCAGTGCATGGCTGCCGGCCGCCATCTTGGCTGGCAGTTAATTTGCATATCGCCCTGATTAGCCAATGGGAAGGGTAGCGGATGTACGGCTAATTACCATGTTTCTCTTTTATTAGATAGGATAGATGGTTATTTTTGGTCTCTGTATTTTTTCTTCTTTATAGACCTACTTAAAAAAAGTTATTGGTACCAGGCTTTATTTTCCCTAGAGAAGTAAAGGTTTTGGGGCAAAAAGATTTAATAATTTTTTAATTGAAAAATTAGACTACAATATATATTTTTACTGTTAAACTATGAGTGAAAATCTCAGTCTTTAATCTAAAATGTAGAATGTGTTCTCTACATTCCTATCTAATCTTATTTCTCTGAAATAATTTTGTAATGTTTTATCATGCTTAGTGAAAATAATTACAGACAGTCCTCTCGACATACGTCGTTTCATGGTTATGTCGCCATCTCCCATTTATTTATTTAAAAAAAAGTTCCATCATTTTGACGTATGTACATATGTGCTTTATGTTTTTTATTATTTATTTACCACAGTAAAGGTCAGGAATTGTTATCTTTCTTTTAATTTTTTTTACTGTTTCACTTCATTACTGCTGTGTATGTGTTCCATGTGAGTGATGTAGGTGCTTATGTAGGTGGGTTCCGACTTAAGGTGAAAATCATGCTATGTTGCACCGTAGGAACAGACCTCCCACTTAACCCAAGGACCTATTGTATTGGACTACTAACAGCTTCATAATTCCTGATTATGACAATAAGTACAGTCCAAAACCCAAAATAAAGCATTTCTGCCTCCAGGAGGCACTGTTATTTTCACAGAAGTCACAGAGATTTATTTAGTGCCTGTTCCATGTCAGGTTTTCCCCAAAACAGACCCTAATGTGGGAATTTGTTTGCAGGAAGTATGTTGGTTACACACTCAAATTCAACACCTAGTAGGGAATGAAGCATGCGGGACTGGGCAGAAGGAGAAGTTGAACTGTGATGCAAATGCCACAACAACCACAGGGAGCTCTAGGTCTGAGGTGGCCCTGCCAAGATATCCTGAACTGAGGCCTGAGGGCCCACACTTTATGTCCCCTAATGGACCAGTCATTGGATACAAGTGGCTCCCAGAAAGGGGGCACAACCTTGAGCTGAGTGGATCTCTTTGGACAAGGGCAATTTCTAAAGAGGGATGCATTTAAAAGCCATCAACCACCAGTAGTACTAGT